TCGACGAGAATCCTCTTGACTACAAAGTTTGCAATGATGGCTGAGATCACCAGAGCATCATCGTGGGGGACTGTGACCCCCTTCAAGTCCTTCTCCGTGAAGGAGAGGGTTTTCTGTTGCTTCGGCTTCTTGGGGGTAGGTCCTTGGGATGTTTAGCTGCCTGGCGTAGGCCTTGCGGGCCGAGGCCATGGCTCCACCCGAGGTCGTGCCCCCGACAATGATGTCAATGACTCAGGCTATCTGCTGGTGTTGTTGCCGATGCTACTGGGAGGATGAGGCACGAGGCTCTTCATTGATGAATTGCTTAAGGTGCCTTCGTTGGATGAGGGACTCTATCTCATTTTTCAAGTCAGAGCAGTCCTCTGTGTCTTCTCCAGTGCCACAGTGGTACTTACAGTAGCTCTTGGGATTTCCCTTTTTGGGGTTCCTCTTCATCTTCTCGGGCCACTTCATGAACTTCTCCTCCCCGATCTGCATCAGTATCTGCGTCCAGGTGGAGTTGAGTGGCGTGTATTGGTTGTAAGACAGGGCCGAGGCCAATGGCTTCTTGTTGTCCTTGCTGTTGTAGTTGTTGTGATGGTGGTCTCCACCCTTCTTCTTCTTCTCAAGGGGCCCGTTGTGGCGCTCGGCCTCCCTTTCTTTGGTGATCCCCGACCAAAGCCTCTTCGACCGCAATATACTTTTGGGCCTTCTTGAGGAATTCTAGCTTCGTCTTTGGCGGGGTCATGGTGACCGAGCACTTCAGGGCCGAACTGGGGCAGAGCCCATTGATGACAGCGTGCATGGAGACCATGGGGTCGAGGTCGCAGACCTCAAGCTCTTCCTTTTTCAAGCGGTTGATATAGGACAACAAACTCTCACCCTGCTTCTGTTTGATGGACATCAGTGAGACTATGCTCTTTTGGCATCGTCTACTACTGATGAAGTGAGTAAGGAACATGTTGGAAAACTGCTCCCACGAGTTGATTGATCAAGGCGGGAGATTGGAGAACCAACGGCGGGCAGCCCCCCTGAAGGTAGCCTAGAAAGTCTTGCACGTCAAGGCATTAGAGTACCCATAAAGTATCATGAGCGCTCTGAAACTTTTCAGGTGGTCGTCGGGGTCTGAGTTCCCGTTGTACATCTCCAACGCAGGAGCTTTGAAGTGCTGGGGGAGAGGCTAGGAGATGATGTCTGGGGTGAAGGCATCCATTCTCCCTGTCGGATTACTTTGGTCGGCCGAGGCATCAGCTCAGCTCTCCCAGAATTGGTGGAGCTCATCCTTGACAGCCCCGAGCTCGGCTCGTGGCTCTGCAATCCGAGGGTCAGCTGGAGCTTGCCACTTGTCTCTGTCTTCACGGGAATGGTAAGGGTCGGCATGAACTTCGGAATGCTCCGAGGAAGGACCGCGCGCCTCCCGTCTGGCACAACGGTCGTTCAAGACATCTCGGAGGTCTGAAACCAGCGTGGGAGAGGCGCGGCGTCGGCCCTCGGCCCTTGAGGGGGCGCTACAACAGCTGAGGTGCCTGCCCTCGTCCCATGGGATCTCCCTCCTGTGGCGGTGGTGTTGCTCAGAAGGGTGGCGGTTGTCTTCAAACCGCGCTGGCTCTTCCTCCCTTCAAATGGAAGGTCTCACATTTCTTTGTGTTGGGCTGGTGGGTCGGTTGCTTTCGGACTCGATAGGCTCGACACCTTGGGGGTCGGCTAGGCCGAGTGCTGGGGGCTCGACATGCTCGTGTCGGCCCTGGTGGTTTGGCACCCTAGCGGGGCGATCGCCTCGGGAGGGACCTCCTGCCTGGGCGCAGACTTGCTCCACGCATTGTGCGAGGTATTCCAGACGGTTGAGGCCCGCCTGAAACTGTTCATTTGTGACCAGGTTCTGGGGGTTACTGGCTCTTCGTACCATGGTGTCCGAAGCTTAGGAGATCTTAAGCTTGTAGTGTTTTAGGGAATCGTCTTAGCAACGTTCCCATAGACGGCGCCAATTGTTGGTGTTCGGTTTAGCCGATGTCAACAAAGTAAATTTTCTCCCAAGCTTTGAAGGAGGGCCGAAGGCTTTGAGGGTTCGGAAGAGACAAGCCGAGGCCAAGGGCTAGAGGTCGAGGCAGATTGTTCCTTCGAATATTGTAGAAGCTGAGGCTAGTACTGAGAAGAGCTTCCGAAGAGGGACGAGATACAGTTCTTGGTGATGAATCTGCAAGGGAGAAGGTGTCAGAGGCCTTGGATGATAACCCGAGGCAAGGGCTCCAACGGTCAAGTTAGTACGTGCACAAGGTAAGCAATGAGTTTGGAACTTAGGGGTCCAGACGAGGTCTCAGATAGTGCTAAGTCCTTAGAGGAGAGCAATAGAGATCACAAAGATTTCGAATCCTCTACCTTGTTGGGGGGTGCCTTGTATTTATAGTCGGAGCTACCAAGGGGTAGTTGGGCTCGGATGGTCCAGATGCAGGCCGTACAAGGGACTGGCAAGATGTTCTGTTAAAACCACGCGACACCCTGCAATTGGGTCTGCCTGGTCCACATCAGATAACCCTGAGTGTCCTTGTGGCAAGCCTATGCTGGCGTTCTCTAGTCGATACGCGTCAGCCCCGCGCAGGCCAGCGGAATGCGCCTACATCAATTACTATGGCATATATAGCTTGAAAGAAATGCTTTGTTGTTCAAGAATTATATATTATTCAACGTGTTACAGGTTTTGCTTACCAAAACTGATTGACCACTACTAATTACTAGACCAAAAACTTGGATCTTACTACAGCTAATTTGGCTCACTCCATCAGATGGACAAAACCTCATATCTGAAAATTAATTTTGATAGAGCTGATTAAACTCAGAAATCAGCTATTGGTTTTGTAGTCAGAGATCACATGGGCTCCCTTGATTTTGCCTGGGCCATTCCATGCAAGACTTTTTAAGCCCTCTTGTATGTGAAGACACTGCAACTCTTGGAGAGCACTAAATTTGTTATATCATGGGATTCTTTAACAGGTGACAATGAAGTTTTTGTCAAGATCTTGTTGGAGGAAAATTCTAATCCTCCTTGGAGTAATTGTAAGAGTCTTCTTACCCACTTACATGGTTCATTAGTTATGTTCGCTTCCATATCAAGCAGATTGCATATCATCACCTAGCTAAATTTGTCATTTCCTGTCGTTTTGTACAAACCTAGTCTGTAGAGCCAGATTTTATCTCTTCTCTTATGATGAAGGATGTAATTGAGAATGATAGTTGAATGAATTTACTTAAGGTTTTCAAAAAAAATCTATATAAATGGGTAACTTGAATTCAGATCTATCGGATAACCAACCTATTAACAGCCCTAGATTAAAAAACCACAGTTAATAGATAAATCAATCAATTGGTTTAGTTGGTTTAGGTTGCAAAAAGGCTCTCTAACACCATTACACCTAGGGTTGAGCAAAGCTCTACCCAGAACCGAATAGAACCAACCTTGAACCAGTCTTCAACCAATCTTATCCAATCTATTGCAGGGGTAGGTCTGATTCCAAATTATATATTGGAATCGACCCCCACCCAAGTTGGTTTTAGGGTCTAGGGGTTTATCTTACCCGAATTGATCCAATGAATTGGCCTTGGTGGAACTAACCTAGAATCAAACTTGCTTTGAAATAAATCCCAAAATACTTTTCAGGATATGAAGATTTGAACCCAAAATCTCATGGTTACAAAGGACATGGTCTCACTTGACTATTGAATTACTCAAATGATTTGATCATTTGTTTTTATTTTAATATTTGAATGTATATAATAAATAATGTAAAAGGTAATATTTACAAAATTTAAATTATAATGATAATAAACCATAAAACCAACCATTATAAGCTAGGTTACAGTTCCAAAAACCTAAAACTGACCCCTATTGGATAGGTTATAGATTTTTCCATGGAACCAAACCGAACTAAACCAACCATGCCCACCCTTAATTATATTAGGCACCACCTCAACTGACAGTGGGTTTAATAGTGATTAATTTATCCAATCAAAGCGTGACGTTTGACATTAACCTCATCAAATGTTGTTTAATATATGGACCTTATCCTCATTTCTACTCTTATAGTCTTGCGTGTATTTATAGTTTGTACATTCTTAGAAATTAACACTTTAAAATGCAAACAAACAGGACTTTATTTATATGGACCTTTGCACTCGAAATCAACATGTTTACCGAAAAAAAAGGAAAGAAATTTACTTGAAATTTCAATTCTATCTCTTTCTATCAAAAAGAATGTTCCAATTTTATCCCTAATCAATACGAATGTGAGTGCAAACCGATTAATATTAATTGGGTCTAGACCCTATAGACTTGATTACACGGAAAAGTACATTTATTTATTTAACTAAAAATTTAAAATTTGATAATATAGTCTTAATAAAAATGATAGAAAAACACTACATTATTTATATGCTAATAAATTTTAAACATTTTTTACTAATATTATCTTGTTTATTATTTATTATTTACAAAAAAGTATGGACAGGCCTAATGTAGATTTTTGATTCCCACTGCAAAGGTATAAATATTCAGAATGTCCAAAAACCACACTCTATGCACTCATACGGGCCAGTGAATTGGTATCAATTCCAAGCTAGCACCTACTCCAAATATACTTTAAGCCTACAAATTCTGACCCTGGGGTTATCGGTCATTCTCCCTTAAATTTATCATTTAAAGCTTAAAATATGAAAAAAATTAAGAAAATATTATATATATTTAATAAAATAATCAGTTCTGAATCTAACAAGCAAAAACCGAAACCGATCGAGTTATTAATTGGAACAAAATTATTGGTTCAGAACCATTATAACCGGTTCGGGTCCATCGGATAGACCAGATCCATTGACAGTGGACGCTGCCTGGACGGCTGGACCAGAGCGAAAAAGAGGATAGCTGAACGCTCTTTCTTTTAGGGTTAACACTAAACAATATAAACTTCTGAATGGACCAAAATACCCTCAACAATCAAGACTTGTCGCCTCATTCCCTCGTATATTAGGCCTCCAAAACCTAATACGACGTTCTCCCCCATTTTGCCGCCCTGAGTCCCTGACGCTGCTGATAGAGCTGCTTTGTTTTCCCATCGGAGAAGAAAACAATGGGGCGAGTCATCCGAGCTCAGAGGAAAGGAGCTGGGTCTGTTTTCAAATCCCACACTCACCACCGCAAGGGCCCGGCTCGCTTCCGCAGCCTCGACTTCGGTGAGCGAAATGGGTATCTCAAAGGAGTGGTCACGGAGATCGTCCATGATCCAGGCCGAGGCGCCCCACTCGCCCGAGTCACCTTCCGTCATCCATTTCGCTACAAGCACCAGAAGGAACTCTTCGTAGCTGCCGAAGGTATGTACACGGGTCAATTCGTCTACTGTGGCAAGAAGGCCAATCTAATGGTCGGCAATGTATTGCCGCTCCGATCGGTTCCCGAAGGAGCTGTTGTTTGCAACGTCGAACACCACGTCGGTGATCGAGGGGTCTTCGCCAGGTGTTCGGGCGATTACGCTATCGTTATAAGTCATAACCCTGATAACGGCACTACCAGGTCTGCTCGGCTTCTCGTTTTCCCTAACTAGGGTTTTTCTTTTCGGGGTTCTAGTTTTTCTTCTTTTGTCCCATTCTCCTTTCTGTGGTTAATTTACTTATTAGGTGATTTTATTGATTTCCAATTCTATTTATCTAGATTCTAGACGGTTAATTCGGTGGTCCATTTCTTGATTTATGACTAGTGCTTCATATGTGTTGATTTATCGGGAATTTAATGCTTTGATATCTCTTGTAATGATGTTTCCCCATTGATGCACGATAGTTGTTAAAACCAATATGTGATGTTTTATATTCTGTTAACTGTTTATAATAGGAGCTTTCGCTAGGGTGGTTCACTTATTTTTTGTATTTTTTTTCATTCAAATAGAGATAGAAATTCAAAGATGGGTCAGTTTAATTTCAAAGCAAATTCCTCTCTAATTTAACTGCTTAATGATAAAATGCAAAATACAAAAGGGAAAAAGATCTTGATTATGTTGTTCAACTTTTTTCCTTGGATACTACAAAGCAAAGGTCAACAGGACAAACACTTTTATTTTTATTCATCATCCTTGGATACTGTTCTTTCTTTCAATCTTCCAGCATCCTATAACTCTGACTGGTTGCATCAGATATCCAACTTTCGTTTAGAACTGCTAGTGAAGATGAATTGACACTTCCGATCAAAAGAATGATGCAGCGATATTCTGCAGTCAACTGAGCTGTGATGAACAACCTATTCACTTGCTGGTTCTGTTCCTATGATGACTAGCGTCTGTCAACATTCCTGATTAGCAATTGAGTCTTTTAATGAACTCCCATTTTTTTATTTTCTTTGACATTCTTAAAAGTTTCCATTTTTTTTCATATTCTTTGTACTGTTCACCAATTCATGAACTTCAACAAAAATTTTGGCACTTGTCTAGCCATGCAGTTTTTATTTTCATTTTTTTCTTTACGTAATTTTTCTTGGACTGATTGTCTGTGTTATTCTCTTCCATTTTATGTATGTATTACATTATTTACATTTGCAACTTGGTTTGCAACATTTCATTGGTTCTCTGATTTTTCGAACTTCTAAATTTCTACTGGAAAAGAAGGGAACCTATACTTCCATGTTTGTGGAAATCCTGCTGCCCTGCAGTCCTCATCAATTCTAATCTTGAAATTCTACAAGATTGTCTGATTTTGGGCTTTAAAAACTGGTATAAGTGAAGGGATGTTTTTGGGGAAGAATATTAGCTAGTAAAGATCTTGGTAGTTTTTCTTTTTTTGGGTTCAATGTTTATTTTAGTTTGACATTTTAAATTGCATTTGTAACATGCTGCAGTAGACATAATAGGAAATATTAATTTTTATTTAGGTTTAATCCTTATTCTATTTATTTTCTGTAATTCAGCAAAGATATTAAAAAAACTAATTATTTTTAATTTATTCATTCACAGTAATGCCCAAATTCAAGAATCCACTCATCACTGAGCTTGTATTTTGTTGCCTTCGCAGAATCAAGCTTCCCTCTGGTGCAAAGAAGGTTGTGCCAAGTGGGTGCCGTGCAATGATAGGACAAGTCGCAGGTGGGGGGAGAACTGAGAAGCCCTTGCTCAAGGCAGGTAATGCCTACCACAAATACCGAGTGAAGAGGAACTGCTGGCCTAAGGTGCGTGGTGTGGCCATGAACCCTGTAGAGCATCCTCACGGAGGAGGTAACCACCAGCACATTGGGCATGCCAGTACTGTCCGTCGTGATGCACCTCCTGGACAGAAGGTGGGTCTCATTGCTGCACGGAGGACTGGTCGTCTCCGAGGCCAAGCTGCTGCTACAGCTGCTAAAGCTGAAAAGAGTTCTTAGAGAGAAGGTTTTTCTTTCGTCTTAGCCAGGAGACTTTATTTAGATTTCTTCCTTTTTATCCCCCACTAGAATACACTACTCTTCATCAGACACCAGTATCTTAGTAGTTTTGTAGCAAGTTTTGCTGAGCATGGTTTGTGGCGTTTTACTTTTCTGAATAACATTTTTTTTTTATAATTGATGGTTGAATAAACTCAATTTCATGTTAATGCTAGTGTAGCCTCAGCTTTTGTGTTTTTGGTAAAGAGTGTGGCCTCGGGTTAGTTTCTCTGCCTTAGCTGCATATACAAGTGCCCATCGAGCATCAGAATTCGGGGTGGCAATTGGGCGGGTTGGGTTGGGTTTGGCTTCAACCCAACCCATTAATGACCTAGTTATATAAAATTAAAAGGGTTGGGTTCAATCCAAACCCGTTTTATCTCAATCCAATCCGCCCAAACCCATTAATCTTATATTTATGGACTTAAAAAATAAACTCTCTTAACAAGTTGGTCATAGCTTATTCATCAAAAAAGTTGGTCATAGCTTGGTGGTAATTGTAGTTACTATTTACACAAGTGGTAAATGTTCAAATCACATTATATGCATGTAATTTTTTATACAAGCGGCGAAGTCATTTGACTATGTTTGGATTTTGGGTTTGATCGAACCACTTAGGTTCAAACTAGTCAACCAATTTAAACCACTTGGGTTCAAGGGTGGTTGAACCATTTAGATTGGATTAGTTTGATTGGAGTGGATTGGACCAGTCTAGTCAATGGTGGATTGATTGGGATCAGACCGGTTGACTTGAACTTTTGATGTAAGTAAATTGGGTTGGTCCAAATTTGGGTTGAGAGGTGTGGATATTGGTTGGACGGATGGTCTAGATCGTGCAAAGCACTCGGAGGTCGAATCATCTTGCTTGAAAATGTTTCGGATTCGGGTTGATCGGATTGGCTTGTATTGGGTGAAATTGGATTGTGTGGATATTGGCTGGACCGGATGACCCAAATCGGATAGAGCAAGCAGCATCGAATCATTTCACTTGGGGTCTATTTTGGATTCGGGTCAACCCGGATCAATATATGTTAGATCGGGTCAGATCTCATTGAACTGGTCTGACTTGGGTCAAATTGATTTGGATTTATGTTGGGTGAAGTGTATTGATTCAAGACAACTAAATTTAGTCAATAATTAATTGAAAACTAATGCATTAATTATAAATTATTTAATTCAAAAAAAGAAAACTAAAAAAAAAGGATAAAAAATTAATACTTACGTCTATAATGGTTATCCACAACCCAACCCCACCCAACCCATTTAAATGGGCAGGTTGGGTGATGGGTTGATCACACAACCCGCCGCCAAGTAAATAGGCAGGTTGGGTGGGTTGGGTTAAAAATTGCCACCCCTAATCAGAATCATTTGCTCAACAAGGTAATGAAGCAGTTTTCCAGTTGGTAAATTCATTCCATGGTTATATTCCTTCTTCGGTTTTGCATTTTCGTCTATCCAAATTGATGGACATCATGATTGGGTGGGTAGAGGTATCCAAATTGATGGACATCATGATCCACTATGAGTCCATTACAAGCGAATCAGGTCCAATCCAATCTAATGAATACTTTAGACCATTTTGGCCCAGTCCAATTCAATGTTTAGGTTGTTCAATATGTTCAAATTGGTTTTAATTTAGATTTGTTTCAATCCAAATCTAAATTGGTCTTTTCTTCTATCAGTGGATCGGATATTGGTTCAATCTGGCTGAGTAATCCAATAAATACTTTGGGTCATTAAGTTTGGACTGGTCCAATTCAAATTGATTCTGATTTGTACAGGTCCGACCTAGAACCATTCCACTGATACTAGTGGCATGAGCATAGTTATGTGGCAAGGGAGTTTGTTTTCTTATTAATGTAAATTGCTGCAATGTCCCTTGAAGTTTCTGATTGTTGTAATCACCTCCCCTGAACTTTCTGACATGTTGCAAGTGGATCCCTTGTGTTATAATCCTTTAACAAAGAGGTACAAAAATATCAAAATACCCATGCAATTACTATTGACTTTGGTTTCTACAGAAAAAACAATACAAATTTTATAGACCACAAAATAAATAGAGAATTTAAAGTTGCAACTTTACATTTGAGCAATTGATATGGACAAATTTGAAAAAAAAAATAATTCTAGTAAATAGATTGGAAGGGTTTGGGCTAGTGATTTACATGAAGAGAAAATTTGGAAAATAAACATTTTGGTTGCACTGGTATTTTGCACATTTTCATGCCTCTCTTTAAAGGATTCTAATGAAGGGGGTCTATTTGTAATTATGTCCAAAAATTTGAAGGAGGTGATTGCAATTGCCAAACTTAGGCCCCTTTTGCTTTTTGGAAAGTTATTTACCCTGATATCTGGGTAAGTACATTTACACATTTTTTTATTTCCTAGAAATAAGATAACGACCGCTTTAGCCATAAAAAGTCATTGTTAAAAGGGGCTTTTTTAAAAAGTCATTGACCAACTTTCCCCCCTTTCAAAATTCAAAAATGAATGGGCCCTTAAGGGAAAATTTCAGCAACAAGCTGAAACTTCAGGGGAGGTTTCAGCAATTTACCCTTCCTGTTAAACAAACAATTACCAAATTTTAATTCTGAATACATTTTTAGAAGCTATACATGAAGACCATTCATCACAAAACAAGATTGGATAGCCAGCGATAAAAACCCACTAAAGAAGATAAATGAACCCAGGGGCAAGGCTAGGGGGACCCAGGGGGCCCATGGCCCCCATGGCTTTACAAAAATGTTAATGTGTGTTGTGGGGATTGAGGGGTGTGGAACCAGAGACTTGAACATGTTACAAGTCTGAAGAACCAGATTATATTTATTTATTTATTATTGCTCTTGTTCACTGCTCAAAATTTTCTTGGAAGAGTGAACACTGCCCAACAACCATCAGCGCTTAGAAGAATCAGATTTCAAAAGGTCCAGAATTCATGTTGAATATTTGAATTGAATGAATTTGATAATTTGTTTATTTGAACAGTTGAATTTGAACTGAGTTTCTAACCAATCAACCAGTTCATAGAAGTGGTAAGCAATCAGGTCGGTTTTTATGTCATGGGGGCTTTGATCAGATTCTGGCATCATATATTTTCCCTTTTTAAATTCTTGAATTGAATACAAAGACTGATAGACTGCACAATTGCACGGTAAGTAAATTGTAAAAGTTTTTTTACCTTTAATCTCTCTTTCATTTTTTAAAGTTATTTTTATGATGTAATAGACTAATTAGGAGTCTAAGACTGATTTTGTTTGTTTTTTCAGTTTGTCATTGTGTGTAGAGTGGAGTTACTTCATTCAACATGTTGGAAGTTGGAATACCAAAAAGAAAAGGATTTTATATTACATATTTGAGATACAACTTATAAATTTTTTGGATTTTTTATATTTTCTCTTTTTATTTTATTTATTGGTGTATTTTTTTAATTAACATTCCTCTATAAAGAACCTAAGGTTATGTTTGTTTTAAAATAAAAAGTAGGAAAAGATAGGGAGAAAACTTTTACAAACTTTGTATAGATTTTGAAAGCAATGAATGGGCCTTATATGTTCAACAAAAGTCCCAAATGGGACCTTTGCTCAGGTGCATGCCACAACTTGCCCAGTGCATCCAAGCACTTTGTAATTAATATGGCAGAAAACAAGCACTTTCACGCTTGTTGCATCCCATGCCCATTGCGCAGCCCACTTGCCTGGGCTTGCCCAGTGCCCAGCCCACCTGCCTTGGCCTAGCCACCCCGAAATCCAATTTGAAAAAAGAAATACATAAAACATTAAACAACAATAGAAAAGGCACTGAGGCTGCGTTTGGAAACGATGCAAATGGAGTATAAATCCCGTTTCAAGGTAAATTTGCATTCTGGTTCACTTTTGTCTATGTTTGACAACGTTACATTTATGCATTGACAAATGATAGACTAATGCATACTTACATTGATAATAAAGATGTAAAAGTACATCAATAAAAAAAGAAGTAAATTTGCATTTAAGTGAGCTTTTGATAAAAACAAGCATATGCTTTATTGGAATTCATGTTTGCATCCATTACAGTTAAAAGTTTGTTTGATAAGAAGGTAAATTTGTCGGTGCAAAACTAATCCAATTTTACAATTTATATAAACCGTTTTATACTCTACATATTTGCATTCACACTTATGTGCATCGTTTCTAAACGCAGCCTAAATAAAATCTTTTTTCTTAATCAAGTAAGCAATAACAATAAAAAATCACTCACTCAATCTTTTTTCTTAATCAAGTAAGCAATAACAATAAAAAACACTCGATCAAAACCGTAAAACCACTTAACATTTTGATGAATGAAACAATTTTATTGTTTTCAATATATCATCTTGAAATCAACATAACAGAAAATATCTAAAGAAAATAAATGTATAAACATAATGAAACATTAGAATTTAGTTACAAGATTCAAATTAAAACTATTGCATTAATCTAATAAGCAACAAAACCACAACATTTTGAATTAGAAGCTAGCTAAGGAGAATAGGAGATCTTGAAAGCACGAGAAAAAATCTTGTAAAGTAGCTTCGGAATTTTAGTATTTAGAGTCATGTATTAGGTTTTATTTTAGTTATCAAAATTAAGATCCCTGTTTAAATAAGCATATTTGCTTTTGACCCCTCTAACTAAAAATCCTGGCTTCACCCTGAACGAACCTATACGAACTTTGACCTGATCAGTCTCCCATTTTATCTTCTCTAAATCGTTGCTTGATCGTAGGAGAAAGGCTGTTGCTAGGCCAATACATCTAGCTCCCAACTCTAGGAGTGTCAATTTGGACTGATTGGACAGACCAACAAGACATATTGAATTAGACCAGGCCAGACTTAATGGTCCAAATTATTTATTAGATTGGATTGGACCTGGTCCATCCATAACAAATTTATATTGGATTGGATTGGATTGAGCCAATATCTGATCCATTGATAGAAGATAAGAATATAGGTGTCAATTGAACAGATTTAAATTAAAACAAATTTGAACAGATTGGATGGCTCAGACATTGAATTGGGCCAATCCAAAATGGTCCAAAATATTCATTAAATTGGATTGGGCCTGGTCCATTCATAATGGACTGGATCGGATTTGTCCCAATCCAGTCCAATTGACACCCCTACCCAACTCTCCTGTGTGTATCCCAACAATAGTCTACTGTCAGCTAGAAGAAAGGATGA